TGCTATCTCAATGGGCGGGAGAAGGCGTTAGGGGAGAGGGAGTGCCATTGACTAGTGATGTCTTGCTTTTTTTGATTCAGGTACGGCGCTACAATGGTACCTGGCATGGCACATGGATGATGTGCGTGCTGGCGGCTGGGATGGGGATACGCCTAGGATGGAGACACGCCGCGCGGACGGGGGCACGAATCACCAAGTATGACGACACAGAGGTTGCAAATGCTAGATTGCAGGCGCTAGAATGCGGAACATAAACAAGACAGTCGCTAGAACGCCCCCATATAGACAAAGAAAAGACAGCGAACGCCATGTGCCGGGCCCAGAGGCCACCCAACCAACCAAGCCACGCTACGCTACGCTCCCAAGCAGCCGTCAACTCCCACAAACGCCGCCCCTATCATCCCGTCCCTCTTTAACGAACAAAGAAGGGTATCCATATTACCAGGAAAACCGCTAACCGACCCAAGACCCAAACAGAAGGCTCAAAAACAAGACCAAACAAATGCTGCCGACAGAAACTCAAAACAAAAGAACGGGTGCTGTCCGCGACCCCTCGTCCAGCCGCGATGGGGACGGCCGTGACGGGGACGCGGGCGCACTCCCCTCGTCCTTGGCGCTATTGCTCTCCCACAACTCAAAGCTCTCGCCAGCGCCCTCGATGGGGCCAAGGCCGGCAGCTTCTTGCGGCTGCTCGCTACCCCCCATGATGTCATCCACATCGACCCCGTCGACGTCGCCCAGGCTGACCTGCGGTGGTAGCATCTGGGTCAAGCGCTCTTCGGCAAGCCACCGCTGCTCCTCTTCCCCATCTTCCGGGAGAGATGGCAGCTCGTGTGGTTGCTGCGCGCTTTGGCCGACTGTCCCCTCATTGACCACCGCCTCGGGATCCTCCTCGTCACCAGGGATGATGAACACGCTGGAGCTGTCGCACCCGTCGGCGTAGAAATCCACCACGTTCATCTCGCAGAGCGGGCCGCGCCCCTTGAGCAGGAGTACGTCCTCGTCAATGTCGACGGCATCACGCGAGGCGCCCCGTGCGGAGGATGTCTGGCTGACGTCCTCCGGGGGCGGGATGTTCTCCTTGTCCCGGCCCTCGGCACGGTCGCGCTTCGCGCGGCTCTCTGACTCCTCGTCGCTGCTGATGTCAAGGGTGCAGGTGCCGTGCTGGATTCGGTTGGTCTTCTCCTGCTCGGGGGTGTCCTCGTGGATGTCGAAGGACCATGCGGGACGCCTGGTCTGCCGTGGGGATGAAGAAGTCGAGGGCGGCGCTGGAGGCCGGAGTGGTCCTGCGCCTGGTCTTGCTGGGGCGCGAGCTGCCCGAGTAGCCGGGGATGGTGCCCTTGAGGGCGGTATCGAGAGAGAACGGGACGCCCGCCTTCAGGGAGAATGCGGGGGGGTCCGGGCGCTGGTTGCGGCGGCGGGAGAGGATGCCCACGCGCTTGGAAGGGCGGGTTGGCGAGCGGCCGGCGGGGGCCGTCAGCGGCGAGGGGGCTGGTGCTGCTGCTGCGGTCTTGGCCTTGAGTTGAGCGGTAGGTGATTTGGGCTTGAGGATGTTCCGTGACAGAGGGGTAGACGAGGGCCGGCTGGGGGTGCTGAGGACATCCCTGAACGCTGGAGAGGGCGACGCCTTGGCTAGGGTGAAGGTGGGCGGCTTGGTGAAGCTCTTGCTAATATCACCCTTCAAATCGGCACCCTTTGACCGCTTCGAGAATAGCGCACGGGCCACATTCTCGGCGTTGTCAACGTCGTCCACCTCAGAAGCCTTGCGCTTGACGGGAGAGGCGGCGATAGCTTCCGGATGTTAGCGAGTGCCCAGCGGAAGATCCAAGACGATGGACAACACATGGGAGATGCGGGGGTACATTGGGGGTACGCGGGTCGCGGGCATGGGGTA